CGTCTCAGCGAGATGATAGAGTATCCGATTGACGTAGCTTTCAACAGAATTCTCGTATGCTCAGTCTGGATCAAAGAAAGGAGATAGCAAGATGTCGATTTCTCCTTGAGCGTTGTATGTGAATCCGTGGTCAACCTCAGGGTTGGCCAGGCACTAATGGTAGATGGGAGGAGGGAGTTTGTCTTCTCTTCTTGGCACTAAAACTCATGAAAGATTTAGGTTTTTCAAGAGAGACAAGGGGAGAGGAGGGGGGCGGCCAAGGGGAGGGGAGGCTTGTGGGCTAAGTTAGGTTTAGGGTTTGGGTGAGGGGATTATGAATAAATCTGAAATTAATTTCATATTTAAGTAATTTGGATGAGGGAAATTTAATTTCAAATTCAAATTGGGATTAGGAAATTGAAGTAGAGAGAGAAAGCAAGGGCAAGGGAGGGGGCCGGCGGCATCTAGAGAGGAGGAAGGATTTAAAAGCTTCCAAAATGAATTATGTAATTTAGAAAAGGGGAATAATAAATCAAATCTAATTTAAATTTAAGTTAGACTTAGATTTATGCGCTTTCCTAAATTAGAATTTGTAAATAAGGAAAGTATTTGAAATTCAAAATTGAATTTCAATTAATACTAATTCCTTTCCATTCTTGCTTGAATTAATTTAATTTAGGAAAGCAATTATGATGATTGAAGTCATCATTAAGGAGGTAGATGTGGGGTGGGCCGTCGGCAATGGGAAGGGGAAAGGGATGGCATCAGGTAGGAGAAGAGAAGGGGATTTGGGCCGGCGGATGGAGGGATTTTGGATGTGGTGTTAGGGTGAAATTAAGGGGGTTGGGGTGGGCTGACGGGTGGGAGAAAAGAGGGGTTTCGGGTGGTGCGGAAAAGAAGAAGAAGGAGAAGTTTTGGGGGAAAACCAAGAGCCCACCCGAAGGGGCTGTTGGGTACTTCGTTTGAGCCTCTCCTAGGCTTCTCCTCTCTTAAGTGCACACACAAGAAGAATACAAATCTGAAATTTTTATTTAATCATTCATTAACCTCGTACAAAGCACAAGACCTCTATATATAGGTCTCAATAATAAAGAAAGAAGAAAGACGCAAATGCTCTCAGGGCTACAATGAGAACTCATTACCCATAGGGGTAAACTAGAAAATCTGAAATACAAAATAAATAAAACATAAAATACATCAAAAGTAAAGATTCTGAATCGTAGCCGTCGATCTACAACTCTGTCGATTGACTGATGTCCTTATCACTTAGTTTTCAGAGTTTGTTGAATCAATGAGGTAGCTTTGCTTGTAGGCTTGTAAATGGAAGGAACTTGTTTGTTTGTTGTGTGATAAGTTAGCTATTGAAGCTTGTTGAATCAAGAAAGTAGTGCGTCCACAGGCTTGTGAGCTAAAGGAATTTGTTGATTCAATCCTTGAGCTTTCTGAATCGGGATTTCATATTCGAGCTCAATTATTTAAGCTTGTTGAGTTTTATATTTGTTGAGTAATTTTGCTGTTGGAGCTTGTTGAATCAACAAAATTGCCCGACCTTAAACTTATGATTTAAAGGAATTGTTACTGCTAAGTGCAACCTTAAACTTATACAAATTTCCCCTTGTATGATAGGGGAGTTTAAGGAAACATACCAACTTTACTCTTTAGGTTTATGAGTTGATAATTATTCATGGTTCCTTAAGCTTACTAAGCTGATTGTAGCTTGGCATTGTACTTTAATTTATTGAACTAGTTGAAGAGTGAATGTATAAATTCTGCTACAGGTTGTTGCCAAATTTGTATAGTTAGCTCTACCCATGGATTTGTGATCTATGAGAATCATGGCTTGTACCTTGGACTTATCAAGTCGATGGAAATGCATCTCTTATTCAATTGTTAGAGCCTACTTTTTATCATGATCCTTTTAGTCTTGTTGGACCAGAGTATATCTTTTTGCTTGTGTGCTTAAGTTTCTTTAGCTTAGATTTAGCCTAATGCTACGCTTGGTTGGAGGTCTTCTGCGTGGATCAATATTTTTAAATTCACTTACAAATATTTCATTTTAGAAGCTTGATTAGATTTCTCCATTTTGAGGAATTCTATACAAATTATTTCTTCTCTACTAGGGCTTTTGATATATAGTCTCCTAAGAGGTTACAACTTCAGGTCAAGTTATTGAACCATGATGGAAGACTTGAGTTGGCTGTATTTGAGAATCTTTTTCCATCCTAGTTGAGCATGAACAATACTCCAAAGATGGAGAGAGAAGTCTTCCTAGTAATTCCATCAAAAATCTAATTGCTTGGGAAAAGCCAACCCCTTTCGTATGGAGTAGCTTTTTTTAAGGTAGATTTAAAATGAACTTATATAGTTTGGGCATGCATAACATGGGATATTAAATAATGTCAATTTGGAATGCATGAAGTCTATTATAGGAAGATGAAGGTAGTATGGATGGACAAACGCTACTACATATGAGAACACTCTTGTCATCATGGTTGGGTTTGAGCGATGCACTGAAGATGGTGAAAGAAGTCTTCCTCGGTGGTGTCACAAAAAAAAACTGATCACTTAAGATGACCCAACCCCATCCTTGTGAGTCCCTTAGATGTGTAGATGAGAGGGGACTCATTGTTTTTTTTTTTTGAGGTGATTTGGGCATGCACAATGAATGATAGAAAATGCACTAAGTAGTTCTCGGGAGATTACAAAGGAGAATGGAGACTTAAGATAACATGAATAAAAATTGTTCAAAACGAGCAGTGGATTGTGATGACCCTACTCCTAGAGCAATATCAAGAATTCATCATGACATTATAGCCATGATGATCTCATCATAAGATCAAGATCAAGATCAAAGATTAAGAGAGCTTCATCAACCATGCATAATTAAAGAAGTCACGATTTAAAATATTTTAAATTATATTCACGTTTAAAGTAGAAAGTTCAAATTTTGTAAATTTGAATTTTAAATTTTTAAATTTTATTTCTTTAACTCAATGTGGGAAGCGCTTTATTATGAACTTCCCTTGTTTTCTTTCCGTTCTTTGTGTTTTTGAATTTCAATTGATATAATAGTTTAAAGAGTTGCTTGAATGAGTTAAGAGGGGCTTTTTCGTGTTTTGACAAAATTGAAGAGTGAAAATTCTATGTGGTGCGCACTTGATAGTATAACATTGGATATTAAATGAACTTAGTTTGGAATGAATGAAGTCTTTTATAGGAATTCTTAGTTAGTATGGATGGGAAAATTCTTCTACATTTGAGAATGCTCTCGTCATTTTGGTTGAGCTTGAGCGAAGTTCTGAAGATGGAGAAAGAAGTCTTCCTCAGAGGTGTAACCAAAAATCTGAGCAATCGGGATGAGCCAACCCCCCTTCCTCATAATTCTCTTCGATGTATAAATGACAGGGACTTATGATTAGTTATCTTTGAGGTGGTTTGAAAATAACACATCCAAGGCTAGGTCAATATGTTTATATATATATATATACCACAAAGTGTCCTTTAGAAGGCATCAATAGCATGTTATTTAATCATGAGCAAGAGGGTGATCCTTTGAAAATTGTCCAACTCAGGAAATTGTTAAGCACTGTCTTTAGGAAGTTTAGTTAAAATAACACAAAAGTTACCACATTGATTTAACTATTTGCCAAATAGATGAGTCAAACCTGAACTTGATATGCTTATCTCATTGAGGAAAATGATGAGTCCCATGAATTTTCTTGTGTAGATGTCTTTGATACCCAAAATATATGGTTACTTGTCAGTCCTTGCACCTGTTGAAGCTCATTGAGCTCATGGTTGTCTGGTTTAGATAAATTGGAAATGCCTTGCTTTATGCTTCGTTTCAGTAACATCGAAGAAAGAGAGAGTGATATCTATGGATTGTTAGGAAGCCCTTCTTCCCTTTAATTGAAAGGACTTATACCCATGAGTAAAAGGGAAGGATCTTTTCATTTTTAATTCTAGATTTATTTTTCTCATCCCTCCACACACACTCAAAATAATTGTTTTTTCCTCACAATTTATTTTGGCTTGTTTTTCTTTCAGACAACATCGAATAGAAAATCAAGAATGATGTCTTAATCTGTATAATTGGAGTTCTGGGAAACCAAAATTTTAAACTTTCAAATGATCCATCCATGCATCAAGCATTTAAATTAATACTATTGGATGGTCCCTTGAAGTACTCAAGCCAATTATAACTCTGAGTGTATTTTACACAAGTAGAACTATTTTAATAATTTTAATTTTTATAATTTAAATAGAAATACTATTTTTCTTGGGAAGGGTGTATGCATTGAGCCTTTCCTATATTATAGATGGATCAACATCAATGATCTAAAAACATTTTTGAATTTGTTGCCAAAAAAACTAATTGTTTGATGACTCGTCTTTTTCCATTTAGAATAGTAATGTAGTCTATACATAAAAGCATTGCTTTTATTATCATTATTCTCTAAACTTAACTTGTATATTGCATTATCAAGTGTCTTTTTTCTAAATTATGTTAGTATTGCTTTCTAAAAATTTGAATAGGATACTCCATTTGCTTACCAAATATAATGTCCAACTGTAATGTTGAAATTTCTTTTGCATTGCATGCATTACGACATATAAGCCTCATTTGGCAATTTTGTATATTGTAATGACTTTCTTGAATTTTTTTTTTAAAAAAGGCGCACCATGCAGCACATCTGATACATTGTCCAACTATTTTGCTCTAATTTTTTTATCTATGCTTGCTGCATGTTGTATTCAATATGGTATCCCCAAAGAATTAAAATTTCCTAAAACTTTGGGAGTTACGGTATTATGTGTAATTGTGCTTCTATTGTTTTGTGTTCATAAGCGATTTCTTGGATAGTATTAGTAATTTCCTCTTAAGGTATCAGAGGCTTAACTCTTCTCTATAGTTTAGGTTTATTAATTTTGGATTCAATTTTATTAAGATTTAATTTTTTGATATAACTCTGTCAAATATGTTTATTTTTCAATTTGAATTTTATGTTGCTTTTATATAGAGAGACAACTTCTTGTGCATCTGGTAAAGCAACATCTAGTATGTCCAGTGATGAAAGAAATCAGGTTGGTTCGTTAGTTTTTTCCCTTTTCTTACATGTATGCCTCTAAATATAGTTATGTTTTATTTTTCTAGTCAAATTCCTAATCAAAATTTGACATTATTTAGAGAAGTATATCTGAGCGAATCCTTAGCCGACCACCTCATTCATTGCCACCCAGTAGATTTCGTTCTGAAGAAAAGACTAGACTGTCAACATTCAGTAGTGCTCCCCATAAGAGAAGCAGAACCATCTATAGAGGTCATAGATTGTTAAATGCTGACCAAACTAGCAATCTGAGTTCAAATTCTGATGTTCATAAAGCTCGTCGGAAAAGACGGCCCAAAAAGAAAAAGCAGGTGCAACTTTTATGCTTTTTTCTTTTTTATTTCATCTCTATATCAGTAATAATGTGATGCTCATTTCCTTGTTTTCAAGTAAACTCTTTATAGGATGATTGAAACATAATCAAATAACTTTTTTTTATTTGTTTTTGAAAATAATAATTGTTTTCTTTGAGAGAAAGTAAGCCAAAAAAAATTCTATTTGATGATCAGGAATGGGAGAGACTTGTGTAACACCCCATGATACCCCTTATCAGTAACGTAGAGTGTCACAGTATTTAATATAACATTCATTCTCAACATATGATACTTTTCATCATTTGAATAGTTGCATAAAACATCCATTGACAATTACATCTACTGAATGAACGAAAGCATATACTAATTTCAATTACATCAAAACAATACTTATAGAGCTACCTAGAAAATCATAATGTTTCATTACATTTAAACTGATGAGGACATTAGTAGAAGATTCTGACGCGTCTATCATCGGAGGAATCGTAGATCGACGGCTATGATTAGGAGTTTTTATTTGTGATGCATTTTATGTAATTATTTTTTTTATGTTTTAGTCTTTACCATTGTACTCCTGTGAGGGATTAGTTTGTGTTGTAGTCCTGAGGGCATTTTAGTCTTTGAGTTTCTTTTATTTTGAGGCTTATATATGGAGGTCCTTGTCATTGTATTAGGATGATGATTGATTAATAAAAATTTCTGCTTTCTTGTTTTCTTGAGTGTTGAGAGCACTAGAGAGAGGTGAAGTCTCTAGGTGAGGGCAAAAGCAACTCCTGCCAGCCGCAGGATGTGTTCGGGCTCTCAATTTCCCTCCCCTACCTTTCCTCCCTCTTGTTCTTCTTCCTTAGCTGCCAGCCTAATCCCCACCTTCCCCAAAATAGCCGGCCTCCTTCCCCCTCCTCAAATCGCCAGCCTCCTTCCCCTCTCCACCTCAAACCGCCGGCTCCCTCCCCACATCACCCAACCCCACGACCCAAGCCTCACCGCCAACCCTCCTCCCACCGAAACCCCAAGATTTGGCCCCTCCCCAAGCCGTCGGCTTACCTAGGCCAAACCCTAGTCGCCGACCACTCTTCCACAATTCCCTTGATTTCAAATTTCAATTGCCTCTTTAATACTTTCCTAATTTATTCTCTTATTAATTTGGAAAGTCTCTTAATTTGAATTCAAATATTTTTGAATTTCAAAACCTTTCCTAATTAATAACTCTATTTTAGGAAGCTTCCCCTAATTGCTCCCAATCTGAAATTAATTTGGATTTAATTCCAAATCCTACATTCGTTGCATGTAGACACATTCATTGAATGTGGAGACACCTTTCCCCTCTCTTCTTTGGCCAACCCCCTACCTCTTTCTCTCTTAATTAATTCCTCCCCATTAATGCTCCCAATCAAAGTCCCTCTCATCAAGGTGCCGCCCCCCTATTCCTCAATTAGAGGAGATTCAAATTCAAATTATTTCCCTCACTCCCAACCCTAAAATCTGAGATGAAATTTCAGATTTTGAATTTATTCTCTCTCCCAAACCAAACCCTAAATCTGAATTTAGATTTAGCTCTCTCCAAGTTGTAGCCGACCACCCCAAACCCTCCCTCCCTTACATCTCCTCTGCTTGCTTCATATACCATCCAAGGAAGGAGATACACATCCCCGGCCTACTTCCTCATGAATGGCCAATTCTGAACAAGACCATGGATTCATCTATGATCACCAAGGACGAGTAGATGTGTTGAGATCTCCATTCTTCGACATCAACTTAGAGATCCATCACACCGTCGATGACTACATCGATCAGATCTTCTTCTCTTTGACGTCCGCCATCAATGAACATCGACTTTTTCCCCTCTGGATAAATTTCCTTTGGGCGATAGTTTAAGCGTTTTTTGTCTTATGGTAATGGTGGCATCCTTAGGTTTGCTGAAATTATTCTTCCACTAGTAGCCCTCAAGAGTGTGAATGAGGGAAACTCAAGGTGAACTTTCTAATTGTTAACTGTTGGATTTCTATTATTTGCACATCTAGCTTTATTATAATTTTGTTGTTATTTTAAATTTCCCTTCTAATCTATTGTGTAACTGCATGCCAAAGCAAAACAATAATTAAGAAATTCTAGAATCTAATCTTGTGCAACATTAATTTTAAAATTAGCAAGCTTAAAAAATTTTATTAAATTCTTGCAATTCGCTGTTTGTTTCACATCATCTTTTTATCAGAGCATGGTAGCAGTTGTATTCTAGGATCCCACATACGCATTTAGTAGATGTCTTAGGTTGCATCTGCCTTCCCATAAAATGTATTTACATTACTATTGTGTCTGCATTATCTACCTAATTTGAGTCAATGGACCCCGAGCAAATTCAGCGTATTTTAGACTTAATAGTAGGTCAGTTAGGAACTGTGACCCAATAGATAAGAGAAACTCAAGGCAAGTTAGCTGACTTTAGACGAAAAGCTGGAGAACGTTTAGACCACATTGAAAGAATAGGAAACCAGCCGATGTATACCCCTTCTAGGCTTCCTTCCCTTTATGTTGAAGAGGCACGAGCTGATAACGGACCTCCACGAGACCCTTACCGTCATAACCATCATCGGCCCAATCAAGAACCTATATGTCATGATCCAAACTGGAGAGATAATGATGCTCAATTACATAAGAATATCCGCATAGATGCCCCTTCCTTTGATGGCACCCTCGACCCCCAATTTTTTTTTGATTGGCTTAAAGGGATGGATATTTATTTTAAGTGGTATAATATTTTAGAAGCTCGAAAAGTTAGGTTCGTTGAAATGAAGCTTACTAGAAGAGCTAGTCAATACTGGACGAACCTAGAAAATATGCATGAAGTTCGAGGCGAATACCCGATCACGGACTGGCAATCTATGAAACAAGAGCTCAAGCAAATGTACCTCCCTTATTCCTATAACCCAGACTCTTAGATAGATGGAATAAACTGACTCAGGGTAGTAAACTCATGAAAGATTACATTTCTGCCTTTGAAAATTACATGATTCATTGTAGTGGCGAAGAGACCACTACGCTTGCCCAAATTCTATCCATGTTTAGAGCTGGCCTTAGGGAAAACCTTTGTAACGAACTTTTCACAAGAGTTACTACTCTGGAAGTCGCTTACAGTCTTGTGCTTGACCTTGAAGAATCTAGGACTCAATCCCATTCTAGAAAAGTAGACTCTCGTCCCCCTCCTTTTAACACTTCCTCCAGTCAACCTCAAAACAAACCTCCCACCTCTATGACTGGTCGACCCATTGCAGGTCAATTCCAACCCCGCCCTGACTACAAGGATAAAACTTCTGAGCATGAGGCACCCAAAACTAACTCTGGAACCAAGTGTTTTAGGTGTCATTGGTATGGACACATTGCCTCACAATGTTTCAGCCCTTATAGAGTCACCATAATTGAGGAAGTTATCGATGACAAGGAAGAACCTGATGACAAGGAAGAACCTGACATCGAACTAATTCATCACATTGATGACGAGGAAGATTTCTTTTGTGAAGAGGACACCGCTGTGATTCACTGCTTGCAAAAGATGGATTACGTAGAAATTCAAGTTGTTAGGTGTGTCTTGTCTCAACCTAACCCGAGTGACGATTGGCGTAGAACTTCTGTATTCCACAACTTTATCAAAATTGGTAACAAGAACTATAAGGTTATTATCGATAGTGGAAGATATATTAACGTTCTCTATCACCATGATTTCCAAACTTAACCTGAAAACGACCCCCCACCCGAAAACTTATAAGATTGCTTGGATCAATTCGACTGCATTGGAAGTTAAGGATATGAGCCTTATCCCATAGAGTTCGGGGGATACAAGGAGAAGATTTGGTGTGCCGTTTTAACTATGGATGTGGGTCAAATTATCCTTGGTCGCCCATGGTTATTTGACAACGATGTCCATATTTATGGGAGAACAAACACATGCGTGTTTGAACATGATAGCAAGAAGATCAAACTCTTACCCTCCCAACCCAAGCCGATTAAAGATGAAGTTAAATCCACTCCCATTAAACCCAGCACGGGCTTAAAGCTTTTAACTGCAAAAGAATTAGATGCTAAACTTTGTCATGGATCACCCTTGTATGCCTTAGTAGCAAGGGAAACAATTATGGAAAAGGAAAAACCAATCCCGGAAGAAATCAAACGACTTCTTAGAATTTTTGCTGACGTGTTCCCTGAATATCTACCCGACCAACTTCCCCCTTTGAGGGATATCCAACATTCCATTGACTTAGTACCTGAAGCCTCCCTACCCAACCTACCTCACTATCATATGAATCCGGGAGAGCATGCTAAGTTGAAATAGCAACTTTATGATTTACTACAACGAGGATTCATTAAGGAGAGTTTAAGCCCATGTGCCGTCCCTGCACTCTTGACTCCCAAAAAAGATGGCTCTTAGAGAATGTGTGTAGATAGTCGCGCAATTAACAAAATCACGATGAAGTACCGTTTCCCTATTCCCCATTTGGATGATATGCTAAACATGATGACCGGAGCCACCCTCTTTTCTAAGATTGATCTAAAGATCGGATATCACCATATCAGAATCCGTCCATGTGATATGGGTTTTGATCTATAAGGATGATGACCCAAGTCCTCCACCCCTTAAGAAAATTTGTAGTAGTTTATTTTGATGATATTTTGATCTATATCAATTCAGTTGGATAACATTTAGATCATTTAAAGCAAGTTTGTGAGGTCTTGAGAAAAGAACAATTGTATGCAAATTCTAAGAAATGTATGTTCATCACAAATAGTGTTATCTTTTTTGGATTTATTATATATTCCCATGGAATATCAGCTGATTCTGAAAAGGTGCGTGCGATCAATGAGTGGCCTGAATCCAAAAATATTAGAGATGTTCAGAGTTTTCACGGATTGGACACATTATATCGGAGGTTTATTAGGAACTTAAGCACCATTGTAGCCACAATAACTAACCGTCTTAAAAATGGAGAATTTTAATGGGCCATACCTGCCTCTAAAGCTATTGGAAAGATCAAGACGAGAATGGTAGAAGCCCCTGTCATGTGCTTACGTGATTTCTCTA